TAAAAATTAGTTTTCCGTGAATCCAGAGTAAAGTTCTTACAGTCCTGTATATTCACATGTCTTAGATGATTTTCAAATGTCTAAAGTTAAGATTCCCTCAGGGGTCATACAGGAAATTTTCTGAAGGCTGGGCATGGTAGCTCATGCCTGTAATCCCAGCACTCTGGGAGGCTGAGGTAGGCGGATCACTCGAGGTCAGGAATTCTAGACCAGCCTGGCCAACATGGTGAAACCCTGTCTCTACTAAAAATACAAAAAAAATTAGCCAGGCATGGTGGTCCATGCCTGTAATCCCAGCTACTTAGGAGGCTGAGGTGGGAGGATTGCTTCAACAGGGGAGGTGGAGGTTGCAGTGAGCTGAGATCAAGTCACCGCAAATTCCAGCCTGGGCAACAGAGTGAGACTCTGTCTCAAAAAAAAAAAAAAAAAGAAAAAATTTTCTGGAAGATTTTCAGACAAGGAGGGTGATAATCAAGTTGCATTCTACTGTTTTAAAAGTCCTGCCATATCAAAGGGCACACCTTTAGTCTAAAGTTTCTTCTTAGTACATCATAACAGACTCCACAAAGTTGAACAGAAAGCCCTGAAGTTTTACAATTTCTCAACTTCAAAACAAGCTCCACGAAAAGATACATTTAAAAATAGTGAAGGATCCAAATACTTACTGTCGCTTTAGTGTAAGTTTTCTAATTCGAATTAGGTATTGGGTGATCTTGGTGAATCTCTGCTTACATTTGTGTCGAATGAAACGGGGCCAGTAAATCAGATTTTCATCTATTTGCTCCAGTGCTTTCTCATAGTTTTTACTAAGCCGGACCTACCAAACAGAAAAAGGAACTTTGAAGGGCAAGTGTAAATGATTCATTAGGTTTTCACTGTCAGTGACACCTATGGCCTAATGAGGATGGCCCCAAAAGTTTAATCTAGATATGGTCATGGAATTGGGCATCATGGTGGTCAAGCCTGTGGCATTGAGGCTCTTGATCAGTGGTCACTGTAGCTTTGTTGTAAGGCTTACCCGTTCCCAAAGACGCCGAGGAAAAGCTGCTCGTTCTATAACCTTCATATACAAGTAGCACTGTCCTGAGAATAAAGTAAAATAGCTTTCGTGTTATTTACAGAAACTAAAGAACATCCCTATAAAAGCTGTGGGCAGTTCTTCTAGAAGTTAAAACTGGGGAGTTACCTTTCTCTTCTTTAATAGTGGCATACTGACTATTTGCCAGGGGACAGGATGACCGATTACACAGTCCAGTCAGGCTATATTCGTTTCGGCAGAAGCTCTGAGTCTTGGTTCTAGAATGGGAGAAAAGAAACAAAGATTATAAAATGGGTTACCAAAAAGGCAACTGAAGGAATCTTTGATCAAGTTGTAAATCCAGACTCACCTTATTTTGAAGGAACAAAATTGCTTGTTTCCTAGTGTATCCCAGATAACCTGCAAGACAAAGTAAAAGCCCATTTCAAATCCTCTGCCCCAAGAGATACTATATTAATTCAAGAAGGCAACGCCCAAGGACAGGAATGAGAGGAAGAAATGTTTTGTAAAATAGCCTGACTTGTTTACTTTTTAAAATACAAACAGCAAGGCCGGGCACAGTGGCTCACGCCTGTAATCCCAGCACTTTGGGAGGCTGAGGCAGGCGGATCACCTGAGGTCAGGAGTTTGAGACCAGCCTGATTAACATGGAGAAACCCTGTCTCTACTAAAAATACAAAATCAGCTGGGCATGGTGGCATATGCCTATAATCCCAGCTACTTGGGAGGCTGCAACAGGAGAATCGCTTGAACCCGTGAGGCGGAGGTTGCAGTAAGCCAAGATTGTGCCATTGCACTCCAGCCTGGGCAACAAGAGTGAAACACCATCTGGAAAAAAAAAAAAAAAAAACCCGGCTGGGCGCGGTGGCTTATGCCTGTAATCCCTGCATTTTGGGAGGCCAAGGCAGGCAGATCACGAGGTCAGGAGATCGACACCATCCTGGTTAACATGGTGAAACCCCATCTCCACTAAAAATACAAAAAATTAGCCGGGCATAGTGGCGGGCGCCTGTGGTCCCAGCTTCTTGGGAGGCTGAGGCAGGAAGGAAAATGGTGTGAACCTAGGAGGCAGAGCTTGCAGTGAGCAGAGATTGTACCACTGCACTCCAGCCTGGGCGACAGCAAGACTCCATTTCACAAAAAAAAAAAAAAAAGAAAAAAAAAAACCCCAGCAGATTCTAATAGAAAAGCTAAATACAAATCAGCAATAATCATAACTCCATTACCCAGAGATAAAATTTCATTACTATTTTGTAAATATTTTTCCCGTATTTTTTGGACATACTCTGTGAGATCACATTATATATACTTCATAACTTTCCTTTTTTCCTTATGTTCGTTATCCATTATTAAAGGCTTCACGGGCCAGGCGCGGTGGCTCACACCTGTAATCCCAGCACTTTGGGTGCCAAGGCAGGCAGATCACTTAAGGTCGGGAGTTTGAGGCCGGCCTGGCCAACAAACCCCATCTTTATTAATACAAAAATTGGTCGGGTGTGGTGGCAGGTGCCTGTAATCCCAGCTACTTGGGAGGCTGAAGCAGGAGAATCACTTGAACCCAGGAGGCAGAGGTTGCAGTGAGCTGGGATCACGCCACTGCACTCCAGCCTGGGCGACAAGAGTGAGAATCCATCTTAAAAAAAAAAAAAAAAAAAGGCTTCAAGGTATTAGATTTTTAGATATACATACCATAATTTTATCTCATTGAGGGCAAAGAAAACTATCTACTGCTATCCTCCTATAACTAATGTGCTCTTTATTCATTGAGCGTTATATACTTAATTTTTGTAAGGCACTGATCTCTCCAAGTCCTGACACACAGTAGCCACTTAAGTATTTACTGAATGAAAGAAAAGTTTTGTCTATCTAGTTAGGGGGAAAGATATGTAAACAAAGTATCACAAAATAGCAGGTCTAAAGACCACATAGCATGCGTAAGAGTATGACAGCCTTTGAGTGTACTGCCTTGAGGAACTGGGGGAAAAAAGCTTTACCACTATTAAAAGAAAAATACGAAGAGGGCAAAAGAATAAAACACACTTTGAGAATCTTATAGGTGTGTCTGCTGGGCGATGATAGGAAACAGGTAAGAAGAATAAGGGAGCTCTTTTAGGCTTGTGGCTTTAAGTGTCATCTCTGATACTTAAATAAATGGATGACTCCCAAATTGTTATTTCCTGGTCAGACTTGTTTCCTGAGCACCAGATTTGTATATGACATCTCCACTTCAGTATCTAAAAGGCAACATAAATATTAACATATCCACATGAAGTTCTCAATTCCACATCCCTCATAAGAACAGTCTTCCCTAGAGTTCCCCCACTTCAATAAATAAAATCACCATTGAACTATGTATTTTTATCCCAAATCCTTTGATTTCTTCCTTTTCTTCTTCACTTAATCCATCACCAAAGTCTTGTCAGTTATACTGACGTAACAAGTCTCAAATTCATCAATTTCTTTTCATCTCCACCATTAAATTACTACCTTAGGCGAAGCTACTTTAGTTTTTAAAAAAATTTTACTTTAGAGACAGGGTCTCTCTGTTACCCAGCTGGAGTGCAGTGGCCCCATCATAGCTCACTGCAGCCTCGGACTCTTGGGCTCAAGTAGTCCTTCTGCCTCAGCCTTCGAAATAACTGGGACCTCAGGCAGGCACCACCACGCCCGGATAATTTTTTATTTTTTGGAGAGATGGAGTCTCACTTTGTTGCCTAGGCTGGAATCGAACTCCAGGCCTCAAGCGATCCTCCAGCCCCAGCCTCCCAAAGTGTTGGAATTACAGGCATGAGCCACTGCATCTGGCTTGAAGCAATCTTTCTCATACCCTAGTCTCCCTGCTCTCATTTTTTCTCTCCAAAAGTCCTTCACGCAGCAACCACACAACTTTCCACAAACATAGATCATTAAAAGGCCTAAAAACCCTTCCTACAACACTCTACATGACCTCTCCCTGGCAAGCATATCTAATTTCATTACTTCTCTCACATGTCACTTTGATGACCCTTATAGTCATTCTCTCATATCTTCAACTCTCTGTACTTTACTGTTCCTACTGCCTGCTTTTTCCTCAGCTCCTCAGTGACTGGCTTATTCTTATCTTTCAGATCTCAACTCAAACATCTTCTGTTCAGAGAAACCTTCCCTGAGTACCCCTATCTGAAGAGTCCTTCATCATCCCTGGTCTTTCTTTCATAGTACGATTATACAGTCTAATTGTTAATTTATTTATTCACTTGTTTACTGTGTCTCCCCAACCAGTGTTCCAGGAGAGGTGGGGCATTTTTTCTGGTTAACCAAATCCTCAATAATTGCCACAATGCCTGGCACACTGTAAGCACTTAAGTATTTCTCCAACAAAAAACTCAATGAATGAATCTAGGATACTTCCGAAATTATGACTTAGGCAGAAGTAGAGCAAATGCAAAGAAAAGCCTAACACAGGAAACGCAGGTGGAAGAGTAGCGCGCGCATGGATGAGAAGGACGCTTAAACTTGGAGTCAACTTCGCCAAATCCCCTGCAGCCCCCGACCCCAAGTCCGGAGCTGACAGCTGACAGCATGGCGCGACGTCCCGCATTGGTAAGCACGAAAGACGGGACACATCGACCCTATGGGATGAGGTGACGGAGTCCTGTGCTCACAACCCGGCCGGGGCAGCGGGCAGGAGACCCCTGCCAGACACGCGTGAGAACCCATGTTGGAAAATCGGGGTTCCGGAAGCCTCGCATCCAGAGCGGCACGAGGCAACAGGCCCGTTGCGTCGGCGTCTTCTAAGTGTCCGAAAATGGGCAAAATTCCCTGCGCAAACCCGGAGTGACAGAACGGTAAGAGACTCACATCATCCGACTGCATGGTGTCCGCGGCTCAGCGTGCAACTTCCGGCCGGATCGCGGGCGCAGACATGCTTCTTCCGGGAAACCACTTCCGGAACGCCCAGCCTCACCTATCTCGAGAAACGCTGAGACTCTCGGTGTTGCGAAACGTCTCCGGGCAGTCTCGCCGCCGCGCGCGCCACCGCGTCTCCACCACGCTGGCGTCTGCGCGCGCCCGCAACGCTGGGGCTTGTTCGCTGGCGTCGCCTGGAGCTGGGAGCCCGGTTGCGCCCCAGTGCTATCTGCGGGAGGCAGGACGCGCGCTGGCGGCCGAATCCTGGAGCGCGGGGACTGCAGGGGTCGCCCGTGCTTCCTTAGGGCCCTGTTTGCGACCGTTCATGAGGATGGGACCTCTCCCTGCCGGGCCTCCCCTCTGCTGGGAGAAGGCTGGGGAAAGGTGCGGGCGGCGCGGCGGGGCTGGGTCCCTGCTCTTCCGAGTCCCCCGGCCTCAGCTCGCAGCCAGGCCCCGGCCCTGCCCCGCAGATGCTGCCTTGGCCACTACACACGCCCATGTTGGGTGCGGCACCGGGTGCTGACTTCAGAAACTTAGAACTTGAATTCTCCCTGTTTTGAGAAACCACTGACCAGATGGAAAGAGCGTTCCAGTAATAAACACCTGTGTCTTCTCATTGCCTATTTGAGACAACAAAATGCCGTGGCAACATCAGGAAGTTACTCCATATGGTCTAAAAAAGGGAGGCATAAGTAATCCACTCCGTGTTTAGCATATAATCAATAAATAGGCTGGGCTTAGTGGCTCTCGCCTGTAGTCAGCATTTTGGGAAGCTGAGGCAGGTGGATCACCCGAGGTCAGGAGTTCAAGACCAGCCTGGCCAACATGGTGAAACCCCATCTCTATTAAAAGTACAAAAATTAACCAGCATGGTGGCGGGCGCCTGTAGTCCCAGCTACTTGGGAGGCTGAGGCAGGAGATTCACTTGAACCTGGGAGGAAGAGGTTACAGTGAGCTGAGATCAAGCCGCTGCACTTAAGCCTGGGCAACAGAGCAAGAATCAGTCTCAAAAAATACATGAACAAATAACGATAAAAATGGGCAACCGGCAGCCCTTGGTGCCGCTCTGCCTATGGAGTAGCCACTCTTTCATTCCTTTACTTTCTTAATAAACTTGCTTTCACTTCATGGACTCATCTCACCTCAAAGTCTTTTTTCCTGCCCCTGCCCCTGCCCCTGCCCCTGCCCATGCCCCTTCCCTTTCCTTCCCTTTCCGAGTCTCGCGCTGTCGCCCAGGCAGGAGTGCAGTGGGGTGATCTTGGCTCAGTGCAAGCTCCGCCTCCCAGGTTCACGCCATTCTCCTGCCTCAGCCTCCTCGAGTAGCTGGGACTACAGGCGCCCGCCACCACGCCCGGCTAATTTTTTGTTGTTGTTGTTGGTGGTGGTTTTTTGTGTTTTTTTTTTTTTTTTTTTTTTTTTTTAAGTAGAGACGGGGTTTCACCGTGTTAGCCAGGATGGTCTCGATCTCCTCACCTCGTGATCCGCCTGCCTGGGCCTCCCAAAGTGCTGGGATTACAGGCGTGAGCCACCGCACCCAGCCTCAAATTCTTTCTTGCTTAAGATCCAAGAACCCTCTCTTGGGTCTGGATGGGGTCCCCTTTCCAGTAACAAGACCATTTTAATAACAAAAGTGTAAGAAGGACACAGTCTGCTAAAACAGAATCTTAAATAATGTACTCATGGCAGTCACTTTCCATAGACTTTGCCTTATGCTATCGGTTAGATCAAATCACAGGTGCCACGCTCACTGGAGGGGAGGAAAAGATACAAAACATGAACACCAGGGAGTGGACTCATTGGGGTCACCCCAGGGATACCCTGGATTTGACTGCAACTGAAATACATGAGAAATTTGATATAAAGTTTAAAAGCATTTATCATGATGTTATGTAGTATTTAGTGAGGCAGAGCTTGCAGTGAGCTGAGATCCTGCCGTTGCACTCCAGCCTGGATGACAGAGCGAGACTCTGTCTCAAAAAAAAAAAAAAAAAAGTAATTTGCAGTTCAAAAGAAGAACAAAAGAAAATTTAGCCGGGCGCGGTGGTTCACGCCTGTAATCCCAGCACTTTGGGAGGCTGAGGTGGGTGGATCACCAGGTCAGGAGTTCAAAACCACCCTGGCCAAGATGGTGAAACGCTGGCTCTACTAAAAATACAAAAATTAGCCGGGTGTGGTGGCGGATGCCTGTTATCCCAACTACTTGGGAGGCTGAGGCAGAGAATTGCCTGAACCCAGGAGGCGGAGGTTGCAGTGAGCTGAGATCACACCACTGCACTCCACCCTGGGCGACACAGTGAGACTCGGTCTCAGAAAAAAAAAAAAAAGAAAGAAAAAAAAGAAAATTTAATGCTATTTCAGCATTCTCTATACATACCCGTATTCTCCTCTGTTACCATAGTGCACTATGCATTCCTCACTAGTGTTCTATTATTGTTGTTGGTTTATTATCTCTTAGGCCTTGAGCTTGTCTGTTTTTTTGTTTTTGTTTTTTTTTGAGACAGAGTCTCACTTTGTTGCCCAGGCTGGAGTGCAGTGGTGCTATCTCAGCTAATTGCAACCCCCACCTGCTGGGTTCCAGTGATTCTCTTGCCTCAGCTTCCTGAGCAGCTGGGATTACAGGTGCGTTCCACTATGCCCAGCTAATATTTGCATTTTCAGTAGAGATGAGGTTTCACCATGTTGACCAGGCTGGTCTCGAACTCTTGACCTCAGGTGATCCGTCCGCCTTGGCCTTCCAAAGTGCTGCGATTACAGGTGTGAGAGCCCAAGCTGGGCCAACCTTGAGCTTTTCAAGATTAGGAATGATGTCTTTTCATTTCTTTATCCACAATCTCCTGTACAGTTCCTGGTACATAGTAAATTCGCAATAAATTAGTTTTTAGGTCTCTATTTACTTATTTATTTAGAGACAGGGTCTCTGTTGTCTTACCTTCCAGGCCTGTGCCACCTTCAGTCACTCCCACTAGCAACTTTCCCAGAGCTGACCCTGGGCAGAATCAGGTTTCCTATGAAGTGTACACATACACACACACACACATACACGCGAAACCCTGAAGTGTGGAAGGTAGCTTATTGGAGTATTAAACCTAATAAAGTTGCTCATCTGTAAAGCCTGTGTGTTTGCTTGTATACAATCAGAAGAATAAACCATTCAAGGAGAAGAAAAATAGGTAGTTTTTTGTTGTTGTTTTAGCAGAACCACAGAGCTCACCAAGAGGAAGAGATGGGAGGCTAATGAATTTAGACCCTCTCTCTATAAATCTTGCCAGGCACTGTGGCTCACGTCTGTAATCCCAGCACTTTGGGAGGCGGAGGCAGGTGGATCACCTGAGGTCAGAAGTTCGAGACCAGCCTGGCCAACATGGCAAAACCCCGTCTCTAGTTAAAAAAAACAAAAAAAAAAACAAAAAAAAACCCAAAAACCTGGGCCTGGTGATGGGCGCCTGTAATCCCAGCTACTTGGGAGGCTAAGGCAGGAGAATTGCCTGAACTCAGGAGGCGGAGCTTGCAGTGAGCCCAGATCGTGCCACTGACCTCCAGCCTGGGTGACAGAGCGAGACTCTATCTCATAAAACAACAACAACAGCAACAACAACAACAACAACAAAAACCCTGTCTCTGTAAATGTAATGACTAGCTGGAAGAAATGGGAGTCATTATCAGAGGTCTAGCATCTCTTTATTTTGTTTTTTCTTTCTTTTTTTCTTTATTAACTTTCAGGGTTCTTTTGGTCTAGCATCTCTTTATTAAAGTGCTTTTTAGGTTGCCAGAATAATAATCGAGCAGCTAGAACTGCAAAGGAGGAAAGGAAAGAAAATTGTTGGCGCTGAATGATCTTGATTTCAACACAATGATCGTAAGTCCTATGGAGAGGAGTAGGAGGAAGATAAGTTGGTTAATGAGTACAAAAATACACTTAGATAGAAGGATAAAGTCTGGTATTTGATAACACAGTAGGGAAATTATAGTTAACAATAATTTATTGCATATTTCAAAATAGCTAGAAGAGAAGAATTAGAATGTTTCCAACACAAAGAAAAGATAAATGTTTGAAGTGATGGATACCTCTATCACCCTAATTTCATCATTACACATTGTATACATGTATCAAAATATTACATGTACCCCCAAAATATATGTAACTATATCAATTTAAAAACACAAATAAATAAAATGTAAACAACTTTTTTTTAGAAGTCCTATGGGGAGGGTAATTTCTGCAGCCTCCTCTCTTGCCAATGAGCTCGATCATTCAGAGTTTTGCAGCGGTGAATGAAGCATGTTTTACCTGCCTCTCCATGAATATTCCTTAAGCGATTCAATATTTGCTTTTGCTCATAAAAAAGATGCAACGGGGAATATCTGCTGCTATTTGTTTTACATTTGCTTCACATCTTGTTCACAGATGAAGAAATACTGAGATGGAAGGGGATGGACGATGAGCACTCTCAGACCCTGGGGTAGAGCATATTTGTGATTCTTTGTTCATTAGATGACTGTATGTTTATCACAGAACATAGATCAGGATGTGGAAAAAAGCAAACTAGCACTTTACATACCACATCTTCCCTCCTTTATCTACTTCATCTATCTTTTTATTCCATGTTAGAAGGGAAATATTTGACTGGGCACAGTGGGTCATGCCTGTAATCCCAGCACTTTGGGAGGCCGAGGTGGGCAGATCACTTGAGGTCAAGAGTTCGAGGCCAGCCTGGCCAACATGGTGAAACCCTGTCTCTACTAAAAATACAAAAATTGGTTGGGCGTGGTGGCGGGCACCTGTAATCCCAGCTACTCGGGAGGCTGAGACAGGAGAATTGCTTGAACCCAGGAGGCAGCGGTTACAGTGAGCCGAGATTGCGCCACTGCACTCCAGGTTGGGTGACAGAGCAAGACTCCCATCTAAAA